AAGTGTTAGGTGAGCAGCAGGAAACCTGCATTTATAGGATCTCCAACTGAGCTTTTACTGGTTTCTGACAGTATGTCAGCCACATTCAAGGAACAGACACAAGCAGCACCCTCTAGTGTATGCTTTCAGGAAGATATATTACAATGCCATTTCTTAACAGAATTCCATACATAATCAGAATCCTAACAGGAGACGCTGATCACAATGCTGCTATCTGCCCCTAAAATTTACCATGTGTCCATCCTTGGGAAAAATGTGTTAGCAGCAGCCAGAGGAAGATGCAACCACTGGGTTTTTTCTTCTTCCACTCCCCCGCCGCCCTGGTATTTTAGAAGAGCATCTTGCCAAACTGCATGAGTTAAACTGACATCCTTTGATTTAAGAGAAACCCAGTATGAACTGGACAATGTTTTGTTTTTTCACAGTGTAATTTATGAAGGACTAAGTGATCACTTTGAAAGTCAGATGTCAGACTAGACTATCATAATGGTCCCTTCTGGCCTTAACATCTATGAATCTAAAATCTACCAAAATGGGATTTACTTGTATAATTTTGTAGCAGCAGCACTTGACATGCCATATTTTGGGCTACCTTAAAATTTATGGCCACCCCTACTAGCCCTTAGAGCAGAGATATGTAATAGGACTGAGAATTTAAGCCTCATTTGTTCCCTTATGAAGGTAAATATTCAAGTATTTCAAGGAAAAACTATCATTTCAATTTCCGAAGAAGTGGGCTGTAGTCCACGAAAGCTTATGCTCTAATAAATTTGTTAGTCTCTAAGGTGCCACAAGTACTCCTGTTCTTCTTTTATCATTTCAATGGCACAGCTGTGAAATGGTACATTAAAGTGCAAGAGACTTCCTAATTCAGGAAGAAGTTTTTCAGAAATCTGCCCTACGTGGGCTCAATCCTGAAAGGTGCAGAGTGCCTTCAACAATTCATCCAAGTGCTCACTACTCAACTTCTTGCAAGATCATGCTCCATATGGGCAGCATCAAGAGAAAGGGGTAGCTTGTAGGGATTAGAATGGTTTATGAAGAAATAACAACCTGAAAAATCCAAACTAGATCCAAAAAAACCCTAACCCTGTTCTCTCAAAGCTCTCTTCTGAAATGTCCTGGCAGTTGCATTTAAAATAACAGTAAAAAAAAAAGTGTAGAGAACTGAGGGCTGACACTTCCAATCGAAGATAAGATGGAGATAACGACGAGTATTTTTTTCCCCTAAAATTTCTGTCAGGGTTATTTCTACAGCATTTGCATCTGTGGCTGAAGAGCGTGTGGTTGTACAATTTGTCATACTTACTCGGCGTACTTCAGCCTTGACAGCACAATGCTCTTCAGAGGAGAGGGAGGCGCGGGGAATGAAAGGATCATCCTTAAAGAGTCACGACCATGTTCCGTCCCTTGCCGGATGCTACTGTGAGCTCAGGTGTCATTTGCTGCCTCTGTCTCCAGCCTGCACCCATTGTAGGGTAAACAGTGCAGTGCAAATAATGAGCTCCTGGAACCAGGCTGTGTTTTTGTAAAGAGTTCCCTGACCCTGATTTTGCTTCCAAGAAAGAAAAGCTGCATATACAGCAAATAAGCTCTCTCCTAATTTTCAAGGATCTGGGAGACATGTGCTGTTGGAGCTCAGCTCTCAAAGACCGCAGCACTCACCGTGAAATTTCTGTAGCAGACATTCCATGAGGGAGGTCAGCGGCAGGGCAAGCAGGGCCAAGGCAAACGCCACGTTGAAGTTCAGGAAACCATTAATAAAATAGAAGGACCAGGGCTCAGTACCTGTGGGGGAGGTGGGGAGAGAAACAAAAGATAATTAGCCTGAGTGCCTAAAAGGACAAGATGTTATGGCAGCCCCATTCTCTCTCTGCCTGACCATGATCAGTGATCAGCAGCTTCAGAGATCGATTCTCTCTATACCCCATGGAGCTGAAACCAAAGAATGGGGTGGGGAGCATCTTACAGTAAGGGTAGGTCTACACTACCCGGTAGTTCGGCGGCAAGCAAATCGAACTTCTGGGTTCGACTTATCGCGTCTTGTCTGGACGAGATAAGTCGAACCTGGAAGTGCTCGCCGTCGACTGCGGTACTCCAGCTCGGCGAGAGGAGTACCGCGAAGTTGACGGGGGAGCCTGCCTGCCGCGTCTGGACCGAGGTAAGTTCGAACTAAGATACTTCGAACTTCAGCTACGTTATTCACGTAGCTGAAGTTGCGTACCTTAGTTCGAATTGGGGGGTTAGTGTAGACCTGCCCTAAGAGAACCAGTGTGGCCTAGAGGAACGAGCATGAATCCGATTTGAGCAGCGCCTGGGTTCTAACCCTAGATTTGCCCCTGATTTACTGTGTGACTTTCTAAGTCACTTCCACCTTTCTTTCCACAGCTATAAAATGGGATAATGATGCCAGGAGGATTAGTCAATAGTGATTTAAAGGTGCTAGAGTGCCAAGTATTACATCGCTGTCTCCATGCAAGTAACTTCATTGCTTTTACCTTTGTGGATTAACTGAAAACACATACACAACATACTGTCTCTTCCTTTCCCCTTATTAACGGTTAAGCCTCAATGTTATACCCACTGCCTGCTGTTCATGAATCCATGGGACATTCTAACGATCAGCCCCAAAAGAGTGGGCGCCTCTCAAAATGCAAATGCACGGCAATGCTGCCGTGATGCAGGACAGCCACCATCCCATTCTGAAAGCCTATGAGATGAGAAAGTGGCAACTAAAACGGACAAGGTCAAGAGATCTGCTTCTCCAAACCAGCACCCACTGCAGCATAGAAGCTTCTCAAGTGAGAGGCAGCCACAGAAGCCTTGGATGTTAAGAGACTGTTACTGTCTGGAGCGATGCTGTCTCACATGCCGCCAGAGCTATAAAACTTATTTCAAACAAACAAGAGCTTGAATTCACACTTTGTCCACCCGGGACACCTGCTGTAAAGTTGATCTACCTGCTAGTTACATAAATCTTCAGTCTCTAAAGTTTCCCAGTGTCAATTTGTTTTTCCTACAGTTTAGCTTTAAGAATAGGACACAAAAACATTTGTTCAGTAAACAGTTCAACCCCTCCTACTGGTTGTTGCAAGCTTCGAAGGATGCAAAGTGACAGAAATTCCAGTCTGACTGTCATTCGTTTGTACTCCTAATTCAAGATGCTTAAAATCCTGAACAGTGGGGAATGCCAGTTCCTCTCTGCACGTTTGCCACCTTCTTGGTATGATTAGCGCAATCAGTCAGTAAATGACACGCGGGGGCTTTAATCAATGCACTGTTGTGACATGTGTCACATGCCGTGGCAATTTCCTGCAATCAGAGCCACTTAAAAAGGGTCTGTGTTGAAATTAATCAGACAACTGAAAAGCAGCAAGGAAAACGTGACACCTCTGCAGCTTGTACAACTAAATACAATTAGAAGCTGAACTCAATGTCAGAAACAAGGAGCAGGAGTTACCAAGGTAAAGCCCAAGCAACTCACTTTATTTGGGAATCCTACATCGATTAGCATGGCAGCACTGGAAGCAAAATGAAATTAATGTTCTGTACCGCTGTTGTTTTTTAAATGGGAAAGGTTATCAGAAATTCACCTTCAGTCCCCACCCACCCACATCATCACCTTCAAAGTCTCCGGTGAGTATAATTCTCAGCCTGCTGCCAAAGCCCAAACATGGGACACAGAATGTGACCAAGACTCGAAAGGATGAACACACAATAATTATCCATGCAGCAAATTTGCAATGGCTATGGGATTTCTTCCTCCAGTGTAAATAACCCTTTCCATGACTGTTTTATGATTCTTTATTTCTGATGTCTATAATTTTGAATAACCAAAGTGAAAGGGAAACCAAATGTGTGCAGAACGTAGATAACTTTGAGACTAAAATGAGTGGCTCCCCCTTGGAAATCAGGGACATTTGAGAGGTATGTACGTAAGAGAAAAGCCTATAACATGGAGGGGAATTAAATTTAAACAATATTATTTGTATTACTGTAGCTCCTAGGAGCCCTAGTCATAAAACCAGGATCTCATTATGCTAGGAGCTGTACAGACACCGAACAAAAAGACAATCCCTGCCCCAAAGAGCTTCCAATCTCAGTATAAGAACGCGACTTAAGCTGTGTTACTTACGTCCTACTGCTCTGAACTGTGGTTATAGCTGAAGCATGTTAGTTAACATTCAGGTAACACATTGCAATGTGCCTCACTTTCCCCAGAGGTAAAATGGGGATAACAACTTACTTTCTTTGTAAAGCACTTTGCGATCTACTGATGAAAAGAGATATATAGGAGCTAGGTATTAATTAACTGAAATGATTACACCTTGTGAGAGGGAATCTTAAAAGGAAACTCTCAGATTTCAGGGGGAAATTTAGAAAACGTGGGAAGAAGAAATATTCAGTATACTCAGAGTGGTGAATGGACTCCCCGTGGGAGAACTCTGTATGTAAACAAGGGTTCGGTTTCTTCCCAGCCTGTTGGCTACTGGACTCTGTACTGCAGTAGCAATGCTGATGTGGAAGGAGTTGTGACATACCAAACACAGGGCTGCTACTTCAGCGTTGGATGGAGCACCAGGGGCAAGCAGGGTGGGAGGAAAGCCCCTCTCGTAACACACTTGTTCTTTGCAAGGGGGTTGTGTGCCTCTCCAGTGTCCTAGCATATAATTGGCCAACATTGCAGCAGTCTCCCCTCCTGGGATCTGCTTTAATAACCCTCTTTAGCACACACACTATCTCCGAGGAAACCCAGTCCACCTGTCCATGCCTTCCCCCCTAGCTTAATTTATCCATCTGTACCAGAACCTATGAACCGTCTTTTAGGTGTTCACAGCCCACCGGCCAGGTCCAGGGCAATGTTAGCCCTCACACTCAGGGTTCACAATTTCTTCCTCTAGGTCACAGGGGTTCAGGCAGTCGTTAGCCTTCCCTGGGCCATTGCCTGAAAAAACCTAACAGCCACCTGTAGCTATTTCCAATGGAGAGATTCCCTGTTCTATTCAGGTCTCTCCCCGTACCTGGGGAGGACAGGACCTGCCTATTACATCCTGTTTTTCCCTTCCCACGAGACCTTGCTTTAGCCTACAGTCACAGGATCTAGGGGGAAACCAGGGTCAGATGAGAGCTGGGCCTAGACTCCTCTTAGAAAGGCACGGCCACCTCATGACAGACTCCAATGACAACGCAAAAGACAAATGGCCTGGAGCAGTGCTTTGATGCAGAAGCCCTTTCCCTAAGTTTGCTGCAGCGTGACTGAACTGCCTCTTAAGGACTAAGAGCTAGAGCCTTTTCTCCTTGTCCAAGGGCACATTTACTGCTGTGGCTCAGAAAAAAAAGCCAAATCAGGCAGGAATAATGCGTCACACGGGCTAGTTAAGTGACCCGCTGACGCAAGATTTTATGTAGAAAATACAAGCTTGAGGCATGGTGGCTGTGTTGACTCACGCGTTCAGAGACATTCAGTCTCTCTGCCTCCCAGTGCAAAATGCCTTTATTTTTGTCATTCACAAAGGCACAAGGTGACTTGAGACACGACAGCAATGAAAAGCACACCACACACAAGGAGAAATCCTGCCTCTGTTGGTGTTCTTCGGGGATGGGGGAAAACTATCCTTCCACAGAACCGCAGGGATAAGCTTCCCCAGTGTGACATTCGTAAGACAAAGGACTGGAAGGGATCTCCCAAGTCATTCAAGCAGAAACAGAAGAATAAACCATGCAAATCACATGGACTCATTGTGCCACGTCCAGTTTCAGTGGTGGATTAAGAGAGAAAAGCGACTGCAAGTGGTGGAAAAAGAACAGTGCAGTATTTACAGTAGGGCCCACTGATGTAGCAGACTGCATATAAGAAGAACCCACAAGAGCGATTACTAAGCATCCCAGAGCCAGAAAATATTCAGCCTTGTGTTCTACTTCAGGGGCCATTACAACCTTTAAACTCAACGAGCCAGACAAAATAGGTGGTTCTTATTAATCTGTACTCCAGTAGCACCGAGGAATCCTAGCCAAGGACCACGATCCCATTGTGCTAGGTGCTGTACAACCAGATGCAACTCTAGCGAATTCCCCAAATGCTTCCAAAGTGTAACCGCCTTACAAGTCACAACCAACGCTCCTCACATAAATGGGACGGGCTCAGCAGACGAATCCACTGGGCCAGGGTCACGAAGGAATAACTCTCATTGTCCTCGTTATTGCTCAGTTAATAGTGCTAATGATTTTCTCCAACTGCTCATCTTTTTAGAGCCTCGAGAATAAGGATCAGTGATATCTGCATATGAACCACTGTCCCCACGGACATAGGAATCTGATAACAGACAGTGGAATATTCACTACAGTGAGTGCCTACATTGGGGGGAAAATAATATCTAGAAAAAGGAAAGAAAATGCTCTTCTTGCCTGCAGGATCCCAGCTTGTAAGCAAGAAAGATATACCAACATGTCCAGATACCACGTTTATGGATGTGGCATGAGAATCCAAGCAGAACAGGAGTCAGGTTAAAGGGAAGAGAATGGTGATACCACTGTTCCCTGTCATCTGTCCCCACCCAGAGTGTAACAGCCTCTCCCTCAGGTACTATGTACTAAAGGGGTGTAGCCTATGATCACACAATCTGGGAAGAAACCAGAGTCTGAGGAAACTGAACCTAGACCCCTCATAGGGTATGTCTACACTGCAATTAAACACCCGTGACTGGCCCGTGTCAGCTGACTCAGGTCATGGGGCTCAGGCAGCAGCTGGAATACAACTGCAGCAGAGACACTAAGCTCAGGCTAGAGGCCAAGCTCTGGGACCCCTCCAGCCCAAGCCCAAACATCTACACTGTAAATTTACAGCCCAAGCCCTGTGAGCCCAAGTCAGTGGATACAGGCCAGCCATGGGTGTTTAACTGAAGTGTAGACATGCCTTTATAGGCCCAGCCACCTCATGAGAGACTCCAATGATATCCGCAAAGGGAATGCAGGGGATGATAGGCCAGGAACAGTACTTTAGTCCTGGCACTAAAGATGGTGCAACCTGGTGCTTCATCAGCTCCCAGTAGATTTTTATCCCGTTCCCATGAAAGCTGGGACAGCGTTCCAAAGCCGACAGAACTTGCCTGGCCTTTTCATCTCCCTGCGTGGCGTGACTTTTCCTTACAAATAAACATTATAAAGCTTTCTAAACATATAGCATTATGGCATACAGCCTCCTGGCCACACAGCATTAAGCAGACATTTCACTGAGGCTCTTTTATTCATATGAAGATGTTATACGAGTGTCACTGTGCACAAATACTTTAGAATGGATTGGTTCCCAGAGGACACCAGAAATAGCTCACACATCAGCACAGAAAGGTCGAGGATGTTAACCGGCCAAACCAAACCCATCAGCAAAAGTGTCTGAAGTTTCCATTACATAGGAGTCACGGCAATACATTTCAGATCGTTCTTGCAGAGACCAAGGTCCCTGGCAATACTTGCCCTGTTGTACCTCAAGAAACCAATCACCGTGCTGCCCCACCCAGAAATGCCCTTCTGAGTGATACTCCTGGGACCTGTCAGAAGTTGCCAGAGGCAAAGATGGCATTAGAAACTATTCACTGCCGCAGTCTGGCCCGAGCAATATCAGATGTGCAGTGGGATCTGTATGACAAGGGCAACAAGGAGATCTCACTGCTTCCTCAGACACCCCACAGTCTCCTCTAGTCAGGCTATTTAACTTCAGCCCTGTAAGCATCTCTTTAATGATCCCTCATTTGAACTGATCTTAACTCCCTCACAAAAAACTCTCCCTTCATTTCTAATAGCACCAGGTCAGCTGGGAGCCAGGAGCCCCCCTCCTGAGGAACCTAGGAACTGCCAGACTGGATCAAATCCCACATCCATCTAGCCCAGTATCCTGTCTCTGACAGTGGTTAGCACCAGATGCTTCAGAGGAATGTGTATGAATCCCTTGGTAGGCAAGTGTGGGGTAATCTGCCCCAAACCCCAATTAGGTCTCAAATAGAGATCGGCCTAAAACCTGATGCAGAAAGTTTTATTACCCTTTCAAATTTTTTGTTATCTTTAATTATGACAACTCGGGATGTTCTTGATGTCCAATCCCTTTTTGAATTGTGCTAAGCGATTAGGCCTCAGGAACCTCCTGGGTCATTCAGTTCCACAGACTAATTGCATCTGGTGTGAAAAAATTTGCTTCGATCCGTTTTGAATTTTTATCACCTGAACGAAATCCTAATCCTGTCTCTGCCACTGACTTCCTTTGCGATCTTGGGCAAATCACTTTCCCTATTCTGTGCCTCAGCTTTCTGATCTGGATTCTTACAGTACCAACCTCAAAGGAAATAGGTGGGGAAAGGTGTTATAAGCTCCGTGAAGAGCTCTAAAGATAAAAAGAGCTATATTGGGCTAAACATTATTATTGCTCCCCTTCCAGAGTCAATGTCTGCCACTTGTCAGGAGCAATTTTTCACCCCAATTCATATATGTCTGAGAGAAACGAACAGAGATCAAGAGTAACTCATACAAAGCCAAAGCCCATCCTAACTCCAGCAAGACTGTCATAACGAACAGCAACATGCAGAATTAATTAGCCTTTGTCTTTCTCCAGATTCCTGCAAATGCCCTTCTGGTAACCTCTCTTCTGCTGCATGCCAGCAAAGCTCAGACCATGCATTGTCACAGAAGCAAGGAGATCCCCAAGATACAGAGTCTGTGAAGAACTGATGAGAAGTGAAAGGGCTCAGGGGCTGTGCTCTCAGTTACATGCCAGACGGAATCCGCACCCTGTCTGGATGGGACCGGAACAGCCACAAACAGGATTAAAGCTGACAAACAGACTCACACAGCACTCTCTTGCTTTGGTTTAAGAGTGTAACCAACATTACTCAGACAGATAATGAGTCACACAGCTCTTTGGTACAAACAACCACTTTGAATAACGCTCATAAAACATGTGGAGGAAAACATAACTGTACCTTGGGGAGAATCTGAAATTTACAAAATTGGGCACAAATGAAATACGATGTAGTCACATTGGATCTCAAACAGGTTTGCTGTTAAGAGTTCTCTGCTGTGAAGCGTAGGCTGCTGAGAAATCCCGTGATGTCTTTGTGGTGCACCAGAACTTCAAAGCTAGAAACTCATCCAAAGCAACTTAGCTTAGAATTCAACAAAACAAACAGGAAATATAACAATGCGGGTGGTATTCCTGACTCAAGAGAGACATCCCGTGGCAATAGACAGGAACTGCCTCACTGGTGAGCTTGCTTAACTGCATCAAATGAGCTCTCACAGCACACCCCGATATTTTGTTATAACGCACTCACCGTAAAGATCGGGTCCGTGAGGTGTGAAGACATTGTATAAAACAATGTTGAGAGGAGTGATTACCAGCTTCCCATAGTAATAGCTGTCAACAATCACCAGGGGAACCTGGAAGAAAGCATTTAAAATTCATGTAGCACTGGCAGCTTTGGCCAGAAATTCCAAATCAATGAGGGGTTGCCCAGTGTAGTGTCACTGCCAAATTTCCATATTTGTGCCAGGGAAAAAACAGCCTCCCAGCCCCCATGCTGCACAAATGATAGGTATACGATGCCTGGCTCTAACTGACAGGGCCCCTGCAACACAGGAACAGCTATTCGGTGCTGCAGCTTCTTCCAGGAGTATAAAGGGTTTAGAGTCCACAGCATATTTCATTCACCTTGCAGCAATGAACTGGAGATGCTGAGTGCAAAAGGGGAGTTTGGTTCCTATGCCCCTGCTAGTCCCTTACCCCTGAGACCGGACAGTGAATGGCAAAGGCTTTGAGCAGCATCTCATTAACCAAATCAGCCTTTAGGGCAGAGCATTCAGCCGCAGCAGCCAGCATTGGCATGTGCTGCTTTGGGCAGCGGGATACGTGTTTTGTCCACCCCTCTGCGAATCAGGTAACAAGTACCATACCTGGCAGGATGCCCCTGCTCTGCACCCTCCATACAGGTACTAGAGACTGACTTTCAAGTTCTGATTAAGACTGATTCAGCTAGAGACTGGAGGAACAACAGGCAGAGAGTAAAAGCCCTCTGGGAGCAGTAAAGGGAGGTCAGTCCTCTGCAGGAGAGGCAAGGTGAGGGGATCATTGCATGGAAGCTACACAACTTCTCGGCCTTTGAAATCACCTGTAAGAACGAGGGGAGTGAGCCAGGAACAGAGATGTTCTTAGGAGCAGAGGGTGAGGATATTGAGCTCAGGGAGATACCTGTTAATAAGAACCTCAGCAGACACTGGGCAAGTCTTCTGAAAGGGCTCTCCCTGCAAATGAGCCCTGGCTCTGTTACAACCCCAGCCCAGCTCCTCCATTGGGCTTTATTACAGGAACTTACCAAAAACAGGATCAGGGCCACCAGACACCAGTTCAGGAAGCTCTTCCACCTCCGCTTTATTATCAGCAAGTCAACGGCAATAGGTAGCCTGGAAAAGACAACATCTGCATCAGGGACCCTTTTCAATCCAATAATCACCCACCTGCCTCACCTTGAGAATCCTTACCCCCTCCTCCCCCCAGGCCCAGGAAGACAGTTAATGGGGGTGAGGGAGGGAACGGCCGACTCTCTCCCATTAGTCTCAAGCCAGGAACTGACTTCCCTGCCAGGCCATCAAACTGTTCCTTTTTCCAAGGGGAATATTTCAGCAAATCTAACAAGACACCACTGAATGGATTGTCAGCAGCAGGGATCAAACCTGAGACCTCTGGATATTAAAGCACAATCCTTGATTCCTAAGCTAAAAACCCCAGCTGTGTTAGCCCAGTCCATAGCAAGCACATTAAACCTCTGTATGTGCCCCAGATACCACCCCAGCACTATTCTGAGAGCATGTGGCTTATACAAACACCACCTAGACTCTGGGTAACATGTACCACATGGAGGCAGGGTTTTCCTAATGGTGCCACAGCCTCCCAGCCAGACAACTGAGCACTCAGCTTTGAAAAGCACAGAACCTCTGTCGGGCCTCTGAGCTTTTCTCTCCTTACCCAAGAGCTGCACTGAAAGGCCAACCCACGATGGCTCCAGCTGCCACACCCAGCACGGCTACAGAGGTCTTATCCATATACCAGCCTGTCATGGCAACCACTGTGGTGTACATACAGAAACTGCTGGGGAGGAAGGCTACAAAGCAAAGAAAGGAAGAGGTCAGCTAAACTTTCACGTAGATAAAATACTGCATACGGTCAACTTAAGGCTCTGTAACAGGCAGAGTACAGTCTGCTATAAACACTGGGAATGAAATCCTGGCCTCACTGAAGCCAATGGCAAAATTCCCACTGATTTCAACGGAGCCAAGATTTCACACCGGAAGTCCTCCAGTTAAGCGCATTCTCACTCTATTCTGCCAAGATTAAGACCAGAAATATTTCCTCCAAGTACTAAGGTCCCTTTGCTCATAACCTTCCACATTCCACAGTGGCAGCCCAGCCAGATCGCCAGTATTTGCAGATATATGATTACCCATAACCCTTGCTCTATTATCTGTGTCCTTTCTTAATCAGAAGGACAATATGAACTTGCTCACAGGGCAAATGGAGATTGGGATGGACTGGGCACGGGCCTCGAGAAACCAAGTCGGAATATGGGGAAATGGACAGGGAATGAATGAATGAGAACTACACGAATAGTGCTGGAAAGGGCCTTCTAGCCGTCATCGTAAACAGAGGCAGTGCAGAATAGATCTCAGACATCATCTGGCTGTGACGCCTCCCCTCCTTCTGAGGCCACGTCAGCACCAAGTGCAAGAAGCTGTTGCTCGAAATGACTTCCAATTGTCACCTTCGCACAAAATGTCCCTTCACATGCACACAATACCCACCCCAGGTGTTTTACAAACCTGGGTTGCAATAGCTGGCTTGGCAGAGACCATTTAAATGGTGGGGGTACATTAAGGCACATTATAATGCCAGCCTACTGCAAGAGAATACCTTTTCTCCCCCTGGTTAAAACTGGGCCACAGGCCCATGTGGAAATTTCAAAAACACTTAAGGAAAATAGTCCCAGAATGACCAAGACCCAGTTTGAGAGCAAAGAGGTTTGAAAGGCATGGCTCACTGAGACTGGGGACTGCAGCAGAAACAAATACAGCCAGGGAGGAGGAAGATAAAGGAAAGAAGTGAGTGGTACACATCTGGGACAACAGCCCGCTCTCTGGCCAGATTTTCCATTAGAAATGTCTGAAGCAGGAGAGCAATGGATTATCCATGTCAAGCACTGGGCATTGAGTTATGGGAACATTTTAAGGTAATGCTTTCAAAAAAGAACTGCAGTTGAGTTTTTCCCCTCCGGACCCACCAAGGCATTCCTGAGAGTGGGTCACGCCTACCTGCAGCTGAGCAAAACATCCCAGTGCTGAGAACTAAGAAGGCCAACATCAGCCGGCTCACATGCAGCCCAAATTTCTTACACACGGCCCTAGGGAAGCAGAGAGAATATCAGACATAGCGCCATGGAAACATCTGTGCACAAAAGAAAAAAAACACTCTGCACAAATCAATAGCTACTGCATGCTCTTGGGAACCCCGAGCTGGAGGGCTCTCACTCCTCAGCCCCTGAAGACAAATGGACGGAGGAAGAATGGATACTCTGAACCCATCTACACTTGGATTTCAGCCCCCTGCATAGCTACGCCAGAGCAAACCACTACTGTAGAGACGGTATGCACCAGGGTAAGTTGCACTTGTGGGAATCATAGGAAGATAGGAATTGCCAGACTTGGTCAGACCTGTGGCCCCATTGAGTTCAGTATTCTGTCGCCACGTGGGCTTCACCAGCGTACCTAGTGTCTGCACTAAGGGTTTGCATTGGAGCAGCTACGCCAGTAATTGCTATTCCAGAGTACACCAGGCCTCTGTTTTACCAGTCACAGTAGCTGGCCACCAGTAGCACCATACCAAACGCTGCAGTTTGCTTCCCAGAATCAGGATCAATGCCATCTCATGGCTGCCGCCAATGGAGATGCAAAGTGGGACAACGATGGCTCAAAAAGAAGTGGCAGGCTAAGACTTCCCACTTGGACCATCTAATTGCATGTTCAGGCAACTGCTTTATGGAGCTGCAATCTCCACTGGAGTTACCCCTCAGCTGAGATCAACAGAGCCAGGAGACAGAGAACTTGGGGGTGATACTGAATTTTGAAGCTTTCCAGTGCATCCCAGCTGAAATCACCTACATAAAATGAAGTCCGCTGTTTCCCCTCTTCGACACACCTAGTACAACTCAGCTCTGACAATTCTGATGTCAGTGGGAACGCTGTGCACAGAGCCTGGGCCAAATGCCGGAGTTAAGACTTACTCAGTGGACCTCAGAGCAGAATTTGGCCACAGTGGCAGGATTCTAACCAATGTTTCCCTATGAATCTTTGCTGGATACGTATTTTGACAGATTTCAATGTGAAGCACTATAATCCACGTGAGACGTTTTTATATGGGTTTGTGGGTATATTTTCAGCCCTCATTGTCAGTGGCAATAACCATCCTTGTTGTTCACACTGAGCTATTCACTGAGCAAATAGCTTCATCTACTCACTTATAAAAGTAAAGCTCACAAATGCAACTCAAGAAGGCCAAGAGACATCGCAGGAAATAAAAGACGAGAACCTAGAAGAAACATTCAGAGTCAGAAACGGAATTTATAAATGGAACTGAAGTGCCTGCTGGTAAACCGTGGAGCAAAAATGTGAAAGGCTAATACAAGATGGAATAACTACTGCCATGGTGAGAACCCCACAAGATCTACTTGTTAAATGATGGAGCCAAAGTCCACTCAATGTGGTGCCTGATCCCACACCCACTGATATCAATGGCAAAGTTCCCACTGATTTGAAAGACACAGGATCTGGCCCTTTGACACTAAGTCCTTTATGGCAAAACGGTGAAAAAGAAATGACTCCATGGAACGGGACCCTGGGCTAGCCTGCCCTTTCCTCTATCAAGTCTTGAAAACCGAAGCCTTAACTGCAACATTACAAAGGGAAATTATCCCAAATATCCACCTGCTCTATCTTATCCAGCGATCACGCATGCACACAAGAGCATCTCGGTACTAAGGGGTGGCGCTATACATAGTCTGGCAGATAAGTACCCAAGGAACATGTTTTTTTTAAATGCTTCTTTTTCAGTTTCTCATATCTACATGTTATAATGTGTTATGCGAGAAGTGCAGCATACTGACATTTATATTTTGATTTTAAAAATGAAACCATTAAAAAAAACATTGCAAAAGCACTACTGGATGAAATTTCCAGAGCATACAAGTGAAATCAGCTACATATCTTCCAGGAAGCTTAACAGCAGGTTTGAGACTATGGTTCTCTTAGACCAGTGGTTCTCAAACTTTGTACTGGTGACCCCTGTCACATAGCAAGCCTCTGAGTGTGACCCCCCCCCCTTCAATATATAAAAAAGCGTTTTTAATGTATAACACTATTATAAATGCTGGAGGCAAAGCGGGGTTTGGGGGTGAGGCTGACAACTCACGACTCCCCATGTAATAATCTCACAACCGCTTCAGGGGTCTCAACCCCAAGTTTGAGAACCCCTGCCTTAGACTGCTTTGAAAAACACAGTCTTTATGTCAAAGTCTGGGTCCTAGCCTGAATACATGGCTACTTTCAAGAGGCACCTTTCAAACGGTTTCTAGCCTGCCTCTGGTTCATGAACCCTACTAACCATATTCCTTCTGCACCCACTTAGACACAAGCACAAGCACGCTAATTAAGAATTCCAATGCCCTTTGTGTCAAACAGTTGCTTTCTTTGATACAGACGAAAGGCCAGATGATTTCTCACAAGCAAAGCTTCGACACAAATGATTTACCTTATTTGTCCGTAGAACTCGAGCATGGAATAAGGCTGGCAAGGCATGAAGCCACAGATAAGCATAGGAGCGAATGGCATAGACTGGAGAGTATTCCCATGTCTGGAACCCTTTCCCATAGACGAGGTAGTGCATCTACAAATCCCATTTAAAAAAAATACAGGTTAAAAAGAGGACACATTTTTGCTTTAGCCATTAGCAAACAATAGCATAAAAAGATTGATATGTTGAGGGCACAGATCAGCATGAGGCAGCTCTAGGCAAATCCATATCAAGAATCTGAGCAGACCAATTACAAAGCCTCAAATTCCTCTACTAAGGAGAAGCCACTCACCGGTTCCCAGTAGTTAAACGTCTCATCACAGTCGGAGATGTTACTCAAGAGGGCAGCGCAGAACCGAGCTGAGATTAGACACTTGAAAGCTGTGGATCCTTCGGGTGCCCAGACCTGACCCGCCTTGTTCCCGGATGGCCTAATCAAGAGCAAAGAATGAGTGTCACAAGGACTTATTGGAGTGGATGATATAAGGTAACAGGATAAAGAGCAGCAAGATGACACAGGCAAAGAACCCAAGAGACTGGGAAATCCAGACAGAAAGAGTTAAGACACTCTGGGAAGCAATTAATATGTCTGTACTCCCTCTTCAGTATCCTTAAAACACACACTGAGTGAGTCTAAGTCTACAGCTCTTTGCATCCTTCTTTCAGATCCTTCTGCTCAGGGCATGATAGGCATCCTGTTCATTACATTTAAATTCAAGTTGGTTTATCCATTTACACATCTAATTAATGTCACTTGGACATTTACTTGGTTTAACTGACCCTCACCCAACCAGTGACCTTTTAAAGACATTTTCCTCAGTCTATTTTATGTACTTACGTGGCCCCACCCACTGTTGTATCTGAACAACTCACAATCTTTAATACATTTATCCTCACAACAAACAGGAGAGTGTTCTTACCACCATTTTACAGATGTGGAGGTGAGGCACAGAGGAATTAAGCGACTTGCCCAAGGAAGTCTGTGGCAGAGCAGGGACTTGCACCCAGGTCTCCAGAGTCCCTGACTAGTGTCCTAATCACTGGACCGTCCTTCCACCCCTTGAATCCCCATCCCAGCGCTTACCAGACCCAGCCCTACTAGGCTGTGAGGTTGGATGGCACCCTGGCACCAAGTGATACAGCTACATTTCTAACTATACTGAGGAAATATACATGGCCAAAGGCTCTGTTGGGTTTTTTTAATTTTTCGTTACTGCTGTTATACTTACTACAGATCAAACCTAGTTTTGATGTCAGTGAATCCCTTCTATTGAGGTCCTTGTACCGCACCCACCATTGTGGCATCTCAACACCTTTATGTCAAGGATAGTCCAAGCAAATGCACGCCAGATCAACTTCTACCCATTGGGTACCTCTGGTATAAGAGGCGGCTAGCGCTAGACTCTGGTGAAACCATCCTACAATGTTCAACACGTCTAGCTAGATGCCAGGCTCTGCTTGCAGAAACTGAGCCCTGGTGCATTCACCGAGCAAAGCCCTTGCTAATGCCCCAGTCCCAGGCTACCCAGGGACACCCCACAAGGCTTTGGAGACGGTCAGGTCCGTTCATAGGGAGACAAGGTGGGTGTGGTAATATTTGGGTCCAACAGAAGGTATTAAC